AGGATTTGGGCAGGTTTTCCTGGCAGGGCCGGCTGTGTATGTATCCACCGGCCGTATTGGATACTTGAGGATTCAGGAAAACACTCAGGGAACCACAAGGAAAGTCATCAAAGTGAAACCTTTGGCTCGCGGGGTGAAAATTTACCATTTCACTGAAGCTCACCTGAAAAATGATCTTTTTTTTTTTTTAAACGCTTAATGAAAACTTTGCATCAGTCCTTTTTCTATTCTTGCATAATTAAGATCTGCCTGCATTTACTAAGGTGGCAGTGGGGGTGGGGGGTGGGTTTAAGACAAACACAAAGCTCGTGGTGGTGCACACACGCACAGGCATATGCTTCCTTTGATAAAGTGTTTTTATAACAGCACAAATTCTATGGCAGCCTCCCTCAAGACAATATCTGTGCAAAATACCAAGTTATTTATAGGGAGTGTGCCATTTCGACTCCAAAAAAATAAACACGAGCGTAATAGCGAGCTCAGGAGAGATGCGATGAAGCTGCAACCAGTGAGGTTACACTCCGGCACAGGCTTAATTTATAGAGTGCGAACAGGGGGCAAAATAGAAATCTCATCAGGATGCATTGAGTTTTATTAGATATGAATGATGTCTTGATTCGGCTTTCATGTCTCCAAAGCATACAGAGGCAAAGTTGTATGTATGTTTTTTGCCTGTGATTGTGTTCCAAAACAGGGGGAGGGGGAGGGATCTTTTGAACGTCCACACCAGGATACAGCTGCCTGTGACTAATTTCAAACTCCCCTTCTAGGGCCTAGGCAACCCATTTCACAAGTAACACACATCACCAGGCATCTGTTTCCTGTTTTCATTCTTTGAGTTATCTTATTTTCCTTATTTCCTCCTCACCTGTTACAGTTCACGTTCCTTCCATCATGCAGCACGGGCCACGGTCGTGCTTGGACACGAGGCCGTCAGATGTTGGCCACCGAGTAGTACTCATCATACGGTTTGTGGCATAAAATCGACTACATTTAACTGTATTAATAACAGATAATACAGTGAAAAATATATTTTTCAACATAAAGTTTAATGGCAACACACAGACTACAGTTTTCCATACAAAATGAAAACGCTTTCAACACCCCCAGCTCCCTGTAAATAAACAGTATTTTTCTCCTAACACCTACGAGCTGTAATATTTCAGCAGTTTTTCATCAGTTGGTTTCAGGATCTTCTTCTCAGGCATGTTAACAACCCAGCCTGGAGAAAGGCCAAAGAAGATCTGTCGTATATCCTTCCTCATGGCCAGCATGTGATACAGTTCATCCTTTGAAATATCTGGCAGAATGTAACCATACTTCTGTGCCAGGGCTAGCCGGGCCTGCTGGATTTTGTCCGGGTCTGCCAAATAACCCCGGTTGTCAGCACTTGTGTAATAAGGGAGCATATTCTCCCCGGGCAACATTCGCTTTGGGATCGGCTGCCCACGGACAAAAAACGGGACGGGCTTGATGAGGATATCTGTAAAAAGTGAGAGCACATTTTCAGGCCTTTTATCTTAAAAAAATATTTTAAAATAAAATACATCGACTTGGACAAGTGGATAAGATCAATCATTAATGAGTTACCGAGACTTATGGGATCGTAGAAACTGGTTGTGATGACCCCTCCGTTCCTTTCAATAGCAGCTATGGCTCCTTCAGTCGCTCTCTGAACCTCAATGTTGATTTTTGCAGCAAAAATCTCAGCGCCCTGGAACAGGACAAACACGTGAGCTTTAGTCAGAACTGGCTAAAATAATAACCTAAATAAAAATACTGAGGAGTCAAGACCAGCATCTTAATCTGTTACTGTCACAGTGACAACACTGTCATGTGGTGCCACCTACTGGTATGTCTACTGAAATTCTTCAGTTCTAACCAATTGGATAACCTCACAGTGATTTTAAAGCCATTCTTACAGAATAAAACCTTTGCTGGTCAAACTATAAGCTGTTTAAATTGTTTTCTTTGTCTTGCAGCAGCTATGCATAAATTCTTCAGCTCACAGGCTCTACTGATGACAGAGAAAATACATTTCTGTGTTTTCCTCATCAATATTTAAGATGTTCTGCTCATAAAACAGATAAAGGAAATGAACAGGTTATCCATTAAGAAACCTATTACTTTCAATTTCCATGGAAAGGAGATCCTCTGGTGTTTGTAGCATAGCATTCATAATTTATTTGACCTCAATAATCACGTCTCTCAAGTCTTGTTTCTGTGTTGACACTAAATACGCCAGGAAGTAGCTGTTTGTCCTCAGATGATTGTTAAATGATTTTAAAATCAGCTGTGATGACAAATCAAGCTTCCTAATTTTGCCTAATTTGATCTCTATGAAACAGATGAACAGATCAAAAACCTCGTCAACAAGCTGGACTCCATAGTCGCGCTTCAGGGGCTGGATTGTGACTCCTCTGGCGTTGACGAGCTGGGTCAGGTCTATAGGCTGAGTCGGGTCGACTCGGCCCAGATCGATCAGGTACTGCAGCCGTTTTAGCGTCAGAGGGTGGTACTGCGGACGGCGACTGAGGAGGAAGAAGTACAAATCGATATGCACTGCTCAGAAAAATGAAGGGAACGCTCGATCATAGCAGCGTAACACAAACTGAGTTAAACTTCAGGGATATCAATCTGTCTAGTTAGGAAGTGGAAACCACTGTGAATTCATTCGAGGTGCACCTGCATCTTTGCTCTCTCCTTATCCTTCATGACTAACTTTTGTTTATTGCTACTGGCAGCATGAGATGGTAACTGCAGTCCATTCAGGCTGCACAGGTAGTCCAGCTCTTCCAAGATGACAGATATGCAAGTGACATCGTGAGAAGGTTTCCTCTGCCACCCGCCACAGTCTCCTTATATCTCCTCCCTTCAAAACTGTGGAGGACATACAAGGGGATGGGACATTACATGGGGCAGTATTTGATCTTTTGTGCAAGAAGGAGAGGAGCAGCATTGCCCATGCTCTACAAAATGACCTCCTGCAGGGTGCTCAGGCACATTTCTGGCTGTCAGACTCCATGAATGTGGCATGAGGGCCGGATGTTCTTCAGTGGAGTCTGTGCTCTCATCTATGAACAGAACAAGGTGCCAGTGGCAGACCTGTCACTCCAGGTGTGCACTCACAAATGGCAGTCCACCTACCACAGCATGACTCTAATGCTGGTATTAAGAGATCAGTGTGGGTAGTGCTGTGTAGATAAGGTGTACTGACTGACAGATAAAACAGGTTATAAATAAAGCTTTGTGTTTTCTGATCCGAGCTTGATGGCAACCAAGTGCATCTGTCATTTATGCAAATTCGGTGTGCCTCTTACTCAAGCAAGCATTCATCGGTTAGCTTCACAGATAAAAGGCATTTGACGCCTTTACCTGTGCCCTTCATTGAATCCGTATTTTGGTATGGCCAGGTAAAAGGGGGTCTGCCCCCCCTCGAAGCCCAGCCGAGGTCGGTTCCCTCTCTGCCGCTCTCCTTTGTGTCCTCTGCCGCTCCTGTTGCCACCATACTGCCCTCTGCCCCGGCGTTTCTCCTGCGACACAGGAACATTTAGGACCATCTCCTCTTGCTTGCACATAACCTCATGAGAACAACTATCTCCGCTGGATTACTTTAGCTGACATTAGCTGCGTTAGCCACAGATAGCTACAAAATTTACGAGAGCTTAAAACTTACCGTTTGCCGGGCTCCTGGTTCAGGCCGTAGGTTCGCTAAGGTTATCCGCGGGAGGTTCTGCAAAACATCCAGTGCTTTACCGCCTGGTTTCTTAGGGAAAGACATGTTTCGGTCGCTCACATGTCAAAGGTAGCAAACCAAGGGCATAGAGGTCACGTGACAAAGACGGCAGCGGAAGTATTTCTCGTTGACGCTGTTACGTTTCAAAATAAAAGACTTGGGAGGTTTGGCGCTCCTGTTTTCCAAAATAATCCGTGTTAATATGCAATTTTTATTATTTAGAAAACAGCCAAAATGGTCTGGCTCACGATAACATTAATTAACATATTTTGAAAATGTCCCAAGCAAAAGCCAAACGTTGCCAGAATTCTTACTAATATTCAACATTCACCATTTTTTTTTACAACTTTTCCCGTAGTATTGTCTCTGCACACCACCACTGTGGATTTTAAATCAAACAATCAATATGTGCAACGACTAAAAAGTGAAAAATGACTTGGGGAGGAGGAAAAAATTACCTTGGGGTTGCATCAGGAATAGCATCCAGTGTGAAAAAAAGTCTTCCAAGTCAAAACATGTAGAGCCACTTTCAGTTGCTACTTGTTTGTGGATGTTTCTGCATTCAGTTGTTCCATTTCATAGCCAAAAAGCATGCTCTGTTGGGTTGAGATCAGTTGACTGACTTACTATCGAAGAGTATTCTTTGCTTAAAACTCAAACCTAAACAAAACTCTTGAGTTGCCTTTGTAGCTTGGGTTATCAGTAATCACTTTTGCGGCATTTGGCTGAATCTGCGAAGAGAGTATTTGTACACTTCATAATTCATCCTGCTGCTTCTATCAGCAGTTACATCATCAATAAACGCTAGTGATCCATTTCCACTGGCAGCCATACATATCCACACCATAACACTGCCCCCACCATTCTTGACAGATAATGTGGTACACTTTGTGTTGTGATCATCCTGGTACAAATTCACCTCGGTTTCATCGCTCAAAAACAATTTTTTTCCAGATCTGTATTGGCTCTTTTGGATGTTTTCTGGAACAATCCAATCTAGTTACCACAGCTCTGCAGATCATCATTGTTCTTGGAAGTAGCTTATGTTTAAATATGTAAAGGTTCTTCTTTTTTTAATAGTATTATTTATAAAATTTTGAATTGTATTTCTTCAGCTGTGCAGTCACATTATCTGTAATTTTCAAATACAGAAGTGGGCTGTGGAGGATTTAACAGCCCTCAAAGAGTCGCTCATCGACATTTCGCTCACCCAATGGCTGATGTGCATTTGTAATCGGGCCGCTAACGACATCCAATCAAAACGCGGAGGGGGCGGGACTACGAAGCGTGCCTGTCTTTAGCGAGTAGAACCGTAACCGTCGGTGTGGTTGTTTTTAACATCACATTTCAACTTCTAAGAAGAAATTAACGACTGCCAGCAGGGACAGGGGGCAGCGATACTTTGACCTCCATGGTCGGTCGGTATTTTGTCCTTCAGCTGTTTTATATTTGAACGGCAGAGTTGGACAAATCTCGACACGGATTGACAACAAAGGGGAGGGCACCGTTATTAGCTAAGAACAGCTAACTTCTCCCGACATAACAGCTGCCTCAGCGCTGCATGTGCGGCAATAACATGTCAGCGCCCTTACCTGCCATTGTGCCTGCTGCCCGTAAAGCCACTGCAGCGGTGAGTTAACAAGGCGACACAGGTCATTCACATGTTAGTGAAAAAAGCAGCTGTTATTAGACAATAAAGAGCCTAGTTTGTACCAGCATGTGCGAATAGGTGTTGTTTGTTTTGACAGGTTATATTTCTGCATGGCCTTGGCGACACTGGGTATGTAGAGAGATTTGTTTACGTCTTGTGTGTAATATTGGTGTTCATTAGGACCCAAGACACTTTTGCTTTCACCTTAACTATAACTGTGTCCAAAATGACAGACATGGCTGGGCAGAAGCTTTCGCAGGCATCAGGATACCACATGTGAAGTACATCTGTCCACATGCGTAAGTATTTAGAGCAGTTATAAGAAGAAAAGCAGGTTTTGGGAAAGTTTCAGAAAGTCCGTAAGCGCTTTATGTAGACTTGAATGCTGTATTAAAGGCTGTGAAAATGTATAAACCTGTTGACACATGTAGGGCAGTTAGGGCAAGCCATAATGTTACTCTTTTCCACTGATTACAGTCCCATCATGCCTGTTACTTTGAACATGAGGATGAACATGCCTTCTTGGTAAGCCTCGCAGTTAAGGAGCATTTTTCAATTGAGAGTGTGGCTGTTGCATGTCGGATGAGCCTCACATGTATCTGCTCCCTTTCTACAGGTTTGATATCTATGGGCTGAGCCCGAATGCAAATGAAGACGAGGCTGGAATTAAGAGAGCGTCAGAGAACAGTATGTTGAAAGAAGGATTTTGATCCTTTTCAGGCCTTTTCTTTAGTCATATTCAAACATAAGGGGTTTCCTTAATTTCATTTCAGTTAAAGCTTTGATAGACCAAGAAGTGAAGAATGGGATACCTTCACACAGGATTATCCTGGGCGGATTTTCGCAGGTAAGTGTGGGATGTGCAGGAATGATATGTTATATAACCTTGGTTTTTTTTGTGTGTGATTTAGGCAGTGTTATGATGGCGCATTACTGCCACTGAAAGTAAAAAAAAAAAAAAAAAAAATCACTAGGTGAGGGCTGGTAACATCTTGCGGAAAAATTATTTTTCTTTTAAGTTTACTTACATAAGAGAAAATTGAGAGAAAAACTGGTGATTTCATAGGAAGAAAACAGCAGATTTACCAGAGAAATGTGTCAAATTGATGAGAAAAAACGTGGAAAGGTTGTGCATTTAATTTTTTTTGTTTCAAGTACAAGATATTTACAGATTTTTAAAGTTAAGTTGGAAAGAAATTCACAGCCATGAGAAACACTAAAAGAATATGAACAGCACTTCCTTTTCAGTCATATTTATCCAGGCAGACAAAAAGCTACACTCAGTTCTAATAAAATATGTACTCCTTCGACCTGGAGTAACAGCACCAGTCGCTGCGTACAACTTTAATCTTGAAAAAACGCTTGATGCTAGGTGATGTTTTCTTTCAACTGCAAATGTGCAGTGAGGAAGGTGAGTATAATCATACAAACCACGTCTTTGGGTCCGTTAATAGTAAGCACTTATCAAGGAAATATTAAAGCTACTTTTGGTTGCTCCCTCATGCACAAGGTCGCCACATTGGGTCACTCCTTATGTTTGATTTGGCTGATATTTTACACCGGATGCCCTTCCTGATGCAACCCCAAAGGGATTTGTGTCTCCTTTTAGTTGAATGTGTACATAACTAAGCCATGGAGCCATAGTAGGAGGCAGTTATTATATAGTGTATTATTATGCTGTAAGCAGTTAATACAACAGCAGCCATCTAACATAGACTGAAAATAGGTTAAACAGATGTACCGTATCTAAAGCTTAATAACTGTTTGTGTAATCTATACAAAAACGAACTAAAAATTGAACAATTTGTTCTTATGCTTATGCGCAGGACTATTTTTTTGCTAATCTGTTTCTTTCAGTTGATATCAAACAGCACGATAACTGAAAAGATTAACTTGATTTAAATTATGGATGTATTTTGTGTCCAGGCACATCTTAAATTTAGGAAAGAAAAGCACAAAAAACAACTAGGCGCTGTTTTCATGTACTTTAGGCACTTAAAATACAAATAATTTATTTCCAAGTAAATTATTTTAAAAGAACAAAAGAGGACTAGAGCCTTTAATCATGCAAACATACTCATGTTTTGACACTGCTAAATGAGCCTTGTATGTAAATGTGAATTCCCTTTATTTGACTGACAAATGTGTATTAATGAAGAAGTGTATTTGTCATGTTTCCTCTACAACCGCATTCTTTGTATTTGTATCCTCTAACAGTGAGAAAGGCCTGTAGTGTCACAAACGTTCTGACTTAGATGAGTTACTTGTGTTTTCTTGGAGCTGTCATACTTGCACTGGGAGTTGTTTATTCTTTATTTAGTTGGGTATGTGGCCGTTAGCTCCCACCTGTGGATTATCCCATAGCTTTAAAAGTCTGTTCAGTCGTTTATCCAATGAAAACTGACACACACTTTGGTTTTGCTATTCCAGTTTTTCTGTTTAAATCTATCAAGTGTGGATTAATCAAGTGCTGTCCTCAAGCTGAGGTTGTGTTGATGTGTAGTTGTAATCTGTTGGTGTTAGGCTTAGTATCTTTGTGAGAATGATGTTTTTTTTGTGTGTGGTTTTTTTTTTTCTCCCCAGGGTGGAGCGTTGTCTCTTTACACGGCTCTGACGACTCAACAGAAACTTGCCGGTGTGGTCGCTCTCAGCTGCTGGCTTCCTCTCCACAAATCCTTCCCTCAGGTAGAAACATTTCTGAGGGTGCAACCTACGCTTTTAGACAGATCCACCTGAAATTTGTAGTTCTTAAAATTTTTGATAATTGACACTTCATAAAGTTGTGAATGCAAGTATTTTCTTTTGGACCGGTTAATAATAAGCACATATATGAGTGGGGTTTTATTTTACTTTGGGTTGATGTCTAATACATTTAGTAAGCACTGTATATATACATGTAATGCTTCAAATTTTTAATTTATTTTTTTAGCAAACTACTCCTTCAATTGGATTACACTACCGGGATATCCCACAGCCAGCTCACATTCACTCATAATCAGATAATAAAAATAATCCTAATCTGTTCTATTCTCAGGCGGCTGCCAACAGTGCTAACAAGGACATGCATGTCCTGCAGTGCCACGGGGATGCCGATCCCCTGGTTCCCTACGCATTCGGCATCCAGACAGCAGAGAAGATGAAAGGTCTCATCAATCCTGCCAACATTACCTTCAAGTCATACCGTGGTCTACCTCACAGCGCGTGTCCAGAGGTGAGGGTGGGAATAAGAAAAAAAAAAAGGCACATTTGACCGTGGAGTTCCGTCTGAAATGCTTTTTGCATCTTTTTGTGTATTTACAGGAAATGGTGGATGTCAAGCGATTCATAGAAAAGCAGCTTCCTCCTATCAGCGACGAATGAACACGAGTGTGTCCGCTCACCTGATCAACATCAACAGAGTCCTTTGAGCTTGACTCCAGTGAGACTACACGGACTCGAGGACCACTGACTTACTTAATTAAAAAATAAAAGAAAGGGGGGAAAAAAAAAAAGAAACCTGCTGCTACTCATAGATAAGAACGGGGCTGTCAGCCTGCAAGAGGCATGACTGTACTGATGCTGCATACTGACCTGGAGCCACACACAACCCTCAGTGTTACAGTAGAGTAACTAACAGTAGTTGCTTGATTGTGAAGCTACTTTTCATTGAGACGAGCCATTTCTTGCAGGAATTGTATGTATTATAACAACTAGGGCTACATTTCATGGTTTAATACCTACTCTCTCACAATAAATGGCCTGTTGTTAAATGTTTTTCTTTTTCATTAATGTAGCTCTGGTCTGGTGATGAATTATTAATTAAGGCACATCGCCAAGCTAAAAGGTCAAATATTTATTGCTGCCAGCTTCTCAGATTTCTTTTTTCCTCCCTTTAGTGGTCACCACATTGAATCATCTGCCTCCATCTCCCCCTATCCCAGCGTCCTCTGTCACACCAACTCCCTGCATGTCCTCTTTCCCCTCATCCATGAATCTTCTCTGAGGTCTTTTCCTCCTGTCTAGCATATTCAGCATTCTTGGTCAAGCATATCCACTATCCTTCCTCTGCACATGACCGAACCATCTCAGCATTGCCTCCTAGACTTTGTCTCCAAACTCCCTCTGATATACTCATTTCTACTCCTGTCCACTCCCAGTGAAAATCTTTAGCTCGGCCTCGTCTTTTTATCAGAGCCACAATCTCCAAACCATCATAGCACTAGCATATTATAAACCTTCCCTTTGACTCTTCTCTCTAGCCATCTTTTACAAATCACCCCTGACTCTGGTCTCCACCCGTTCCACCCAGACTTTACTCTCTTTCACTTCTCTCGTGCACTGTTCATTGCTTTGGATGGTTGATCCCAGGCATTTAAAATCACCCCCCTTCACTTTTCCACCTGCCCCCTTCTCATTTAAACACATGTAGTTTCTCTTCTGCTTTCTTTCATTCCTCTCCTCCTGCATTTGGGTTTACATAATTGTAGATACAATATTAGCACCTGGGATTTCATCAGCCTTCTTACCTGATTAAGTAGGACAGCCAATATATTGTTGGCTGTCCTAAAGTGTAAGTCGTTTCTGAAAACTGTTCTTAACACACTGCAAAAACTACAGTACTACATGTGCAATACATAATGAGGTGAAAGCATAGACTCTACTGTGAATGTTCATGACACATGACAGGAAACGCAACGTATGATTGTGCTTTATTTATGTGAGAATTCATATAGTTATTTCACACAAATTTTTAAATACACAAATATATCAGTGGTCATGGTCATGTATTCAGTTTGTTTTTCCCTGTTTTGCTTAAATTAAATATAGACTAGTATCACAGTATTGAAACACAAAGACAAGATCTATTTCTGGGTATCAGCTCATCAAGTTGTAAAAACTTTGATCTTTGAGAAGAGCTAAAAGCACCAACGTGTGAAGTCATTGTCGCACCATTCGTTTTAGACCAAAGGTGCTAGTGTAGAAGATCTTATTCCAAGGCACTTTCCTTCTTCTTAATTTTACCGTTAAATAAAAACTACTACTTTCTACAAGAACTGGATATGCATTAAGGCTCACAATATACCTAAATACAAATGCAGTGCTCACAGATACATGCGTTCCCTCATTAAACAAGGTAGAAAAGTGCAATGTCAAGCGTTAGGGAGTATATAAAAATATAGATATGTTTTAGACAAGTAACTGATGCTGAACCGAGCATTTGTTCTTGTTTGCTCCAAAGGTTTTGGTAAGCTAATCGTGGGTAAATAAACAGCAGTTACAGCTGGATAAGTAGTGTTCATTTTCACGTCTGTCTTTCTTTAAATAGCAGGACTCCAACATGAACACGAAACTCCTTCGGGTGGGACGCATGCGCTAGAAAGCATTGTGTGGCAGTGGAGAGTCTATGGCTCAGCGGGAGACTGAGACTCCTCCAGGCTCTTCAGCAGATCTGCGTACGCAGATGAGTTTATAAAGCGGGGGTACGAGTCTCTCTGCATCAGCGTGTAGATCTGCTGCTGAGCATCGTCGAACGTGTGCGAGGTCGGCTCAAGCATATTGCGGTTTATCACTTCTCGGACGCGTGAATCCAGACTGACCTGGAGAGGACGAGGAGAGAAGAATGTTCAATAGCACGGATGATGGATTAAATAATGCACATATAAAAAGACAGAACAACTTCCACACGAGGATTTTATACTCTGCGTGACACTTTCAGATGCTTGTTTAACTGCTCGTTACTGCAAATGCCTTATTAGCCAATCACACGGCACCAACTCAATACATTTAGGCATGTCGACGTGGTTGAGATGACCTGCTGAAGTTCAAACTGAGCATCAGAACACAGAATAAATGTGATTTAAGTGAATGTTCCAGTTGGACTGGTCTAAATATTTTAACTGCAGATCTACTGAGATTTCTCCACACAACCATCTCTAGAGTTTAAGAAGTGGAAAAGAGAAAAAGAGGAAATATCCTGTGAGCCTCAGTTCTCTGGGTGAAAAAGCCTTGTTGATGCCAGAGCTCAGAGAACGGTCAGCCTGCTTTAAGCTGGCAAGAAGGTGACAGTAGCTCAAATAACTGCTTGTTACAAGAAAGATATACAGAAGAGTGAATAAACAACATGCTGAATCTTGAAGCAGATGGCCTACACCAGCTGAAGACCACTCCGAGTGATCTGATGTCCGCTAAGAACAGGAAACTGATACTACAGTTCAGACAGGCTCATCAAGACTGGACAAAAAAAAGATTTAGATTTCTGTTGCCTTCTATCAGCGGTTCAGGCTTCTGGTTTAATAATGTGTGGGATACTTTCATGGCACACTTTCAGTCTCTTAATACCAACTGAGTGTCGTGTAAACACCACAGCCTACCTGGGTATTGATGCTGACCACGCCCATCTCTTCATGACCACAGTGTTCAAATTAGAAACTGGTCTTTTGAACATGGCAATAGATTCCAAGGTGACCAGATCTCAATACAATACAGCAACTGTTTGATGCTGTTGTGTCATTATGTAAAAAATCTCAGAGGAATGATTCCAGCACCTTGTTGAGTCTGTGCTATGATGAATGAAGGCAGTTCTGAAGGCATAAGGGGTCCAGCCTGGTACTAGCAACATGTAACTAATGGAGTAGCCAGTGAGTGTATATCAACGAGGCTTCCTGCTACCAGCTTGAAAATGTAAAATTACTGCTTTAACCACTTTTGACTCAAAAATATCTACTTACATGCCTTCTTTTGACATAATCCATAAATTAGTAAGGCGACTTCAACCTGTTAGTTCACATGCCTTTTATATGTTGTTTAGTGGTCTCTAGCTAGTCTTTTTTCCTTTTTTATGACTGTTGGCTGGTTTATGTTACTTGTAGCTACACTTGCTGTTGATGGGTTATTAACAATACTGTTCTTGCAGCCTGTCATTAACATGATATTTATAATACTCCATTTGTTGTCAGTGCTGTTATACTTTGACACCCTGACTCTATATACACTCTACACCCTAAAACAGCCACTGTGAGACTTTTGGTGAAGTTGATCTTAGAGCTAAAAGAAAGGAACATAAAAGCAGCAAAAGCAATCTGCAATATTACACCTCAGGAGTCAGAATGTGTTGATTGTCAGCATTTGAACTGTAGTAAAACATATGTGATAATATGGTTGCTACTTGGGACAAAGAAACTGAGCTGATTATTCTTTCATCCAAAATTTATTTACAATAAGCTAATCTGCAGATTATGAAAAATGTTTTGATATTTTAAAAATGATAACTTATCATAGCATATCTGAGAAGATCAAGGCTAGAGAACACATTTATGATGTTCTGTTGATAAACTTATATATGATCATTCTAAGTATTATTTACTCACCTCTTTAGGGGAAAGGATGGAGATGAAGTCCTCATAGATCTGGCGGACTTTCTCCTCCACCACAGTCTTGTTCGTCTCCTTTTTGAGCTCCTCGCAGGCGAGCCAGAACATCATGTTCTCCTCGCTGAACTCTGTTCTCAGGAACTGCCTGAAGCAGCTTCGCCCGGCTGCACTTTTCATCACCCTTTCAAATGACATTGCCCAGGAGCGAGTGTCTTCCAGAGTAGGCTTTGGGCTGGAAAATAAAAGAATAATGGATGCGTTGGCATGTCACCGAATTTCCACAGCAATGTCACAGATTCTGTATCGCTGAACTGTTTCTCACCTTTCTTCGCAATTAGTGGTTTTGTCCGTCCTGCTCTCAAACGTGGACCTTTGTATTGTTTCGTCTTCGTTTCTAACAGTCAAACTGAAAGACAAATAACACGGAGAGCTTTGACGTTTTGATCATGAATGTTTTTAAAGCAGTTTGTCACCCGCTTTTCAGTTTTTCACCCTGCAGCTTGAGCTAGACATTCAAAATTGGAAAATCTTCTAATGTGACCATTTGTTATCAGACAGAATAAATACATGTTATAATTCAATGCACGGCAAAATACATGTGGAGGCCCTTAAGGAGACATGAAAACACCTGCTGTTGTTTGAGTTTGTGTCACACTGGGCCTACGATCAGAACTAATGGGATCCGTAGCTACATTAGCCATGCAGTGTGCTGACATTACCATCAGGATTAAAAGTAATGCATTTGTTCCTCAGTCGCTGTGACGTGCATCACGACTGTATTTGTCCTTACAGCCAATAAGAGAACATTTTTAACATTTTGCTTGTGGCTAAACAATTTAGAAATAAGGGCCGACTGCTCATAATTTGTTTGCAGGTGTACCAGCTAGCCTCAAAGCAGACATTGTGTAAATATGTTACATGATGATGCAAGTAGCAACCTCTGGAGCCAAAAACTGCATTTCCTCTAGTGGCCACTTGAGGCTGGCTCCATAATAGAGTCAACACCCACAGACTTCCGTGTTAAAATGCCCAAATTTAGAGCACGTTTATAATCTGGTATTTTTTAAATATGTAAAACCCATTGTTCAGGATACTGGCATTAGCAGCCTAGCTGTGCAGATTCACAGCTGTCCAAAAGTCAATGCACTGCACCACGGTTGTACTTTTGTGGAAAATAGATTATCTGACTAATGTCATGATGACTAATGTCACTAATGTCATGTCTGTGAGGTGTAGCCATCCAAGATGTTTGTGCTTCAGCTTTGCTGAGTTAAACTGTAGTATTTTTTTCCTTTTACTTTGGGCTTCAAATCAAATCAAAATGTATTTATATAGCTCATTTAAAAACAACAGTTTTGATCAAAGTGCTTCACAAATTAGGAAATAAAAATAAGACAAAT